GACTTTCTTGTTTTTCTTTGAAGATGTTTCATTTCTCATCCAAGAAGCTTCTTCAGCTCTGATAACTATGACCTGGGTGACTGAGAATCTCCATAGACACTTACAGTAGATCATTAAGAGTTTCTGAATTGATGATGTTCTAACCTATTTAGGCTAGATAGCGCTGGTGTTTGGATGCACTCTTCATACTAATGTGGTTTGGTGTTGTGGAGCACGTTATACAAGCTTGACCATTATGGCTTATTAGTGTCAACCCAGTTTTTCCAGAGCAACAATCATCCCAGTCTTTGCGAGATAAGCTGATGGGTGGTCTCACCCACTCACCCATTCCAGAAATGAGTGAGAGCAGGATGAACCTTTGAATTGATTTCATGTACCATAACACTCCATTAGAATTAATAGAATGTCCATCCAGCCATGAGCTTAATTACTGTATTTCTCCCTTCTAGCACCTTAAAAAATAACTTTCAAAACATACAGAATATTTTGCAAACACAAATGTTTGATGCTTCCTTAACAGTCCAGGATAAGGATTAAAATGATTCTTAAACTCTTCAGACATTTTTTTTCCCCTCCAGCTGGAAGTTAGCAAGTCATGTTGGATTTGTGTCCTGGTTAAAATCTTCCCATTTCTGACCTCACGGTGGGAGAAGAGAGGTGAACTGGATTCCAAGGCAAAGTAGAATGTCGCATTTCTTTTTCCATCCAGTTTTGGAAGGAAAATAGTATCTTAACTCCGAGCAGGAGGCCCAGAGCTCCGAATACATAAGGCGGCTTCTTTTTGCACAGGGAAATATTAAGCCTGTTTTCTGTTTGTGGTGAAAAAAACTTTCAGGCCACAAGTGAGCCAAAGGACGGGAGTGTTTCCATTTCCTTTCCTGTTGATTAGCAGTAGAAGCCAAGCCTGTCAGCCAAAAGGATGTTTACTGAAAAAAAACTGGCTTGCAGAGTGATACAGAATTGGGATAGGAAAAAGGGAGGGGAGACTTTGCATACCTGGACCCATCAACCTCCCTGTTTTTCTCGTGAAGGAAGTCGATAGATACATCTTCCAGCAAAAGAGATTCACCCTCACACTTTTTAATAATTGCTATGATTTGATCCTGTGCCTCTTGATTGGGACCCTGCAGTCTTTGGAGAGATACCTAGTGCTTTATGAACATTATAATGAAGCCACCTGAACAATTAAAGCAATGGATTTTTTTTTTTAGTACAGGTAGTCCTGCTTAAAACAGTTCATTTAGTGCAGTGGTTCTCAACCTGTGGGTCGGGACCCCATTTGGGGTCGATCTACCATTTCACAGGGGTCGCCAAGCAAGGCTGTCCGCCATTTTTTTCCCCTTTTCCGGCGGGTGCCTTACCTCCCTTGGGCTGGGCCAGCTGGTGGTCGGCCTGCTCCGTCTCTGCCGCTTGCCAGCTACGCCTCGGCCGGTGCAGGGGGCGGAACCACGCATGCGTGGCGCTCCCGGGCAGGGAAAGTCCTCGACTTACGATCGGTTGGGTAGTCCTCGACTTACGACCGGTTTAGTCCTCGACTTACAACCGGTTTAGTCCTCGACTTACGACCGGTTTAGTCCTCGACTTACGACCGGTTGGGGTCACGGCATTAAAAAGGTTGAGAACCACTGATTTAGTGCATGGGTGTCAAATTCGCCACGTGACGTGTTGCGACGTATCGCAACTTTTTTTGTATTGGGGTGGGCACGGCTTCAGGATGATGCAACTGGCCGGCCGGCCAGCAGTTTGTTTGACACCCCTGATTTAGTGACCGTTCAAAGTGACGTCTTTGAAAAAAAGTGACTTATGACCATTTTTCACATTTACAACCGTTGCAGCATTCCCACGGTCATGTGATCAAAATTCAGATGCTTGACAGCTGACTCAAACTTATGACGGTCACAGCGTCCCGGGGTCATGTGATCCCCTTTTGTGACCTTCTGACGCAGTCAGTGGGGAAGCCAGATTCACTTAACAAACACTTTACTAACTTAACAAGTGCAGTGATTCACTTAACCATTGTGGGAAGAAAGGTCGTAAAATGGGGCAAAACTCACTCAACAAATTTCTCTCTTAGTAATGAACTCAATTGACGTTGTAAGTCAAGGACTCCTTGTAAAGAGTAAGAAATGCAGAGGTTTCAGTGTACTTTTTTTCCAGTTTGAGGTCTAAGTTAAGGTCAAGAAGTGTAGGTCTCGAGGGCAGGAATCACGTTGCTCTGTGGGAAAAGTTTATACAGTTGCTTTATATTTTTGGCTGATTTTAAAAATATATTTGCTGGTAAATATAACGTTTTAAAAAAGCCTGAGAAACAAAGTTGGTTCTTTCCTTTTAAAATGTTTCTTTCTGTCTTTTTTTTTTTTTCCTTTGCTGGGAACTCAGTTTTGTAAGGAGAAGTTTCAGTTCAGAGCCCAAATACAATATTTCTGTTTGTGGGGTTGTCATTTGGAGGAATAGCCTCCCTCTGCAAATGCGACATTGCAGCTCCAGTTGTCCCTGACCACCAGGGTTAGACTATTTTATTGTGGTTGTGGTTAACTCAGGGAATATGTTGCAACTTTTTTTTTTTTTTACAAATCTCTTTTGTTTTCCATCAAAGCACCCCAGACTATTCTACAATGCCCGGGGTACTTGCCAGCTCAGCTTGTGAAGTTGGGCTGCTTTTTATTTCAACAACACTGATTCCACCATCCCCCTCCCCGTATGTCCTGACTAAGCATGGTCTGTAGGCATTTGCACTTTGGAAATTGCCTGGTGGGCAACAGCTGGCAGAAGGGAAGCTGGTTGCAACATCCCTGAGCACCGCGGAGACAGGTTACCGTCTGCAAACATTGCAGAACGTTTCCAGCACTGCAAACATTTCACTGCCATAGTAACTGGCCTTTGTCCTCCCTCCCCTCCAGCTGGGTCATTTCAGAATGTGAACTAGTGGGCCCAGCACCAGCTGTTCCAAGCTTGCTTTGCTCTCCTCCCCTCTGTTTCCTTTCCACCTGGCTGTTCTGGTCTCCCCCCCCCTTCTCCATGCAGAATGCCTTCCTCTCCAGCTGTTCCAGGGGCTACTGTCTCACCCTCCCCCTTCTGCCAGATCCTGCCCATTTTTTCTTCAAAAATACACTGTGTTCAGATAACTATGGCTTTATTTTGGAATTTTGCTCCTTTGCAGACTCCCGTTTTTTTTAAAATCCCGAAAGTTCCCCCCTCTAATTTTACTTTCGCTGATTTATTTTGATGTTTTGATTGCTGCTGTTGACAGCTGCAGTTGAGACTTGGGACTTGGCAAAGCTCCTGGGTGGAGCAGGAAATCTAAGAGGTCCCAGCACCCCATGATGTGTTTTCTGGCACTGATAGTGCATTGATTTGGGGAGCGTTATCTGTTGGGTTTGGGGTGAGAAGTGATGCTAAAGGCCCAGAAACTTATCAGGACAGAAAAATCATAATCCTGTAGTAATTCTAGATTTGTAACTGGAATTACAATCTGGAATGACAATCGTCATTGCAGTCATAAATCAAGGCATTATGTGACCTGACTGGATTATTCAACATTTTTTTATTCATTAAATTTTCCCCAATGGGTGGGGTTTTTTTGCTAGAAACTGGAAGTAAACGCCAGAAGCAGACAAAAAAACAGCTTAAATGATTATCATGTGACAGTGGGATGCTGCAAATGGCTGTAAAGTTAAACCGGTTGCCAAATGCCCAATATGTGATCATACGACTGGTGTGTGTGCATGTTTGTGCTTGTCATAACATAAAAAATGGATCATAGATAGCTTTTGGAAAGTTGTTGATTTTTTTATAAGCCAAGGACAACCTTATTGATTGCAGTTGTTGGGAATGTGCCAGAAAAGAGCCAGTTTGCATGAGTTTGCATGCATAGAGGCAGTATGGTCTAGTGCAGTGGTGGCGAACCTATGGCACGCATGCCAGAGGCGGCACTCAGAGCCCTCTCTGTGGGCACGCGTGCCATGCCCCGGAGATGGCAACCATCCCTCTTCAACCACCCACCCGCTAACTCGCTGAGGTCCCACATGGCCGGATGCACCCCAGCACGGCTGGTTTCCTTCCCCCCGTCTCATCCCTCCTGGCCTCGCATGCTCTCCTTTTCCCAGGCACGACCTACTGCATTGCCTCCTCAGCTGTTGGCCGTCCGTCCAGCTCAGAGGCGGCTTCTCTGAACTGCTGGCGATGGGCTGCAGAGCCCCAGAGTGCACCGGTCAAGGGGCCGGCAGGCTATAGCTGCTGATGGACACTGTTGGCCCCCATGCACTCGCTGGCCTCTGTATACGGGGGTCGATGGTGTCAGGCAGCAGCCTCCCCGGCCCCTGACTTGCCTTGCCCTGCAACAATGGAACCCCCCACCCTGCCACGCATTGCCTCGCAGGATGAGCCTCTTGCCCACTGCCCTACCTGCCAGAGACCCCCTGGATCTCCCCCAACCCTGCCCGGCCCCCACAGGCGCCCTTCCCCATGAGCAACATCAAGGTGACCATGCCCACCTTGGCCACACCCACCCAGTCTGCCATGACCACCACAGCCACGCCCACCCAGTGGGCCATGCCCACCTGGAACCCGGCGATAAATAAGTGGGTTTTGGGTTGCAGTTTGGGCACTTGGTCTCTAAAAGGTTCTCCATCACTGGTCTAGTGGTTAAGGCAGGGGGTCTTCAAACTTGGCCCTTTTATGATTTGTGGACTTCAACTTCCAGAATTCCTCAGCCAGGCATGCTGGCTGAGGAATTCTGGGAGTTGAAGCCCACAAGTCATAAAAGGGCCAGGTTTGAAGACCCCTGTAGTTCAGCAACCCCTGGAAGGCCACAGGCCTCCCATCCAGCCATAAGGGCTGAACAATTTGCTATCTCCAGAGTGGGAACCCAGATTTCCTAGAAAGCAACAAAAAGCACATATGGAATATGGATTGTTTCACTGTTGGGTTGCATGCTCGAACTCAACCCCATCCAGGAACCTGACTGTCCTTTTTGTATTTTATCTCCCCTCAACTTGTAGACATGTGGATCCTTCTTCCTCTTTGTGGGGTCTTCATAGCAAGCTCAGCCGCAGGTAAGGTCAAGTCTGGTCTTCAAGGACTTATGACAGAAAGTAAAAACGCCGCCCCTTAGAAACACACGTATACGCACAAACAGATATATCCCACTGCATCCTGCCTAGGACAAAAACTGAAACAAAGATGCCATAATCCGAATCCTGGATTGGCTGGGTTTTTCTAAATCCACTTTCTACAACTTCATACTTTCTGGAGGTTAAGATATGAAGGTCGTCCTTTACCAAAACTTCTTAGCAAATCTCACTTTAAATGTTTATGGAGATTCTCAGTCATAGTTATTCCAAAGATGCTTTTTCACGAGGCAATTAGACTTTCTTGTTTTTCATTGAAAACATTTTGCTTCTCATCCAAGAAGCTTCTTCCGTTCTGACTCCCCATCATCCAGTCAGAACGGAAGAAGCTTCTTGGATGAGAAGTGAAACATCTTCAACGAAAAACAAGGAAGTCCAGTTGCCTTGTGAAAAAGCATCTTTGGGATCCCCACTTTACATGATGCATATCATATTCTGAAAGTTCTAGGTAATACCCATTGCCTGCCCTCCTGTGCTTTTGAACGGTTGGGTGTCCACTCCTCCCCCAGTACAACTCCTGGTGACACAAAAATAAAGAAATTGTGCCTTGTGACACCGTGAGACAAACCCTGACCTTTTGTACTTGAGTCCAGACATTGGATGCAGATATGGAAGTCACCTGGTATGTGTTGCAAAGCGTAGTGATCCCCCAGCCACCCATGGACCTTCCAACCCCTTATTCATAGATAACCTGTCTGGCTGGGGTTTTGAAAATTGCAGTTCAAAAACTCTTACCAAGTGCAAGCTTGTAGAATATTGATCTGATCTTTAAGGGCAGACAGGATATTTTTTTCCATCAGTCAATTTAACCTTATATACCTGAAAAATCTTGCCCACCTTTGGGGTTAGTATTATTTATTACCTGTATAATATTAATGATGGCGACTGAGTTGGTGGCATTAAAAGTGAGTTTCTGACTCCCCACTGAGAAATGATGGTTATAACTTTGAAAGTTCAGTTTTGTCCCCATACAATTAATAATAAATTGTAAAAAATACACAGACTGAATGGCTAGGATTACACATCATGCTAAACCGTGGTTTGTTTAGGTCAGTGATGGCGAACCTTTTAGAGACTGAGTGCCCAAAACCTGCCCCCGCCTGCTCCCCAGCCCGCCTGCTCCGCCCCCTGCCCTGCCCACAGGGCCACCCACCACCTCCACGGCCTGCCGCAGATCACCCAGGTGGCCCAGCAGTGCCATGGCGGCCATGCCCTCCGCCTGCGTCCCGCAGCATCATCTGCGCGTGATGGGGTGCGAGGGCGGAATCTTGTCCCCGCTGCCCGGCTGCCATGTCCTTGGCTGTGCTGCTTTGCGTGGGCCGTGCCCGGGGGCTAGTCTCCTCCGGGAGGGCTGCTGGTGAGGAGGGGTCTGCAAGGGAAGTGGGGCTGGGGTGACAGCACGTATGCCCACAGAGAGGGCTCTGAGTGCCGCCTCTGGCACGTGTGCCATAAGTTTGCCACCACTGGTTTAGGTTATAATTATGATGCATTACAGACCTGTAGTGCACAGTATATCCAAGCCAATGTATTCAGCTTTGTCAACTTTTAGACGTGTAAACGTCAATTCCCAGGATTCCCTGCTAACGTGATTGTGGCACACATCTAGAACTAATGGGAAAGAATACCTGTAGCTCAAGGTTGAACTGTTAATAATAAAGTTGGAAGGGACCTTGGAGGTCATCTAGTCCAACCCCCTGCCCAGGCAGGAAACCCTATACCATTTCGGACAAATGGCTGTGGAGTCCTCGGTGCTGGCTGAGCTGGGTTGTTTGCTTGGAGACATTTCGTTACCCAGTTAGGCAACATCTTCAGTTTAGAAGCTGACAAAGTTGGAAAATCCAGTGCTAATCCAATCACTCAGTTATGATATAGATCAATGAGTTAAACCCAGTCACTGAACCAAACTTGTACATTAAAATGATGCTGTGAGTTAAAACCGGGTTATCCAGAATTAGTTGTATCCCAGCTATCATATGAGGAGTTGAACAGAGCTACCATTCAATAAAGCAAGCATGAGATCTCGTTTAAAGTATTTATTTATTTACAGCAGCTGACTTCAGTACTGCTTTTGACGCCCCTTAGCTAGAACAGAGGGGGAGAACTCCACGTGCCCACCGCCCTTCTCTACTCTTCAATGGCGAGACATTTGTTTCTGATGAATAAGTCAGTAGAACACATGAAAAGGCAATTTACATGGACGCAGCACCTGTTATCTGGCTTAGAAACAGTTGAAAAGGAAAATGTCTTAAGAACAGTGATCAGTTGTCAAATAATAAAATATATTAGCCCACAGAGTGTTCAGAGGGGAAAAGTATATACAGAAACAAAAGGATCTGATATAGCAAGATCAGCTTTTGAAAATAAATAGGAAATGAATACAGGTAGTCCTTGATTTATAACCACAATTCAGCCCAGAATCGCCATTGCTAAGCAAGATGGTTGTTAACTGGGTTTTCCCCCATTTTGCAACCCTTCTTGTCACAGTGAATCACTACAGTTGCAAAGTGAAGCATTTGGTTGCTAAGCGAATCTGGCTTTGCCCATTGACGTTGCGTGTCTGAAGCCAGCTGGGAAGGTTATAAAGGGTGATCACATGACCCTGGGACAAGTACATGCCAGGGGCCAAGCGCCCAAATTTTGATCACGTGACCATGGGGATGCTGCCACAGTTGCAAGTGTGAAAACTGGTCATGAGTTCCTTTTTTCAGTGCCATGTTAACTTTGAACAGCTACTAAACAAATGGCTGTAAGTTGAAAGGCTGGCTGGGGAATTCTGGGAGTTGAAGTCCATATAACTTAAAGTTGCCATGGTGGGATTCAAATATGTGAACAACCGGCTCTCTGTGTGGATGCTGCTTTCGGAAGTCCATTCTGGGCCTGGGCAACCAAAAATTAGCTACCGGTTCTGCCGAACTGGTGCGAACTGGCTGAATCCCACCACTGGAAACAGTGTTTTAAGAGGTGAGGCAGGCAACACCAACTCTGCCATACAGGGAGTAGGAGAAGATGAAGAATATAATAATGGGGTAGATTTGTGTAGAACGGCTTCAGTTCTTATTGTAGTTGTCCATGGTGGAAGCCTTAGTGATTGAACATATGTGCTGCTGGGTTTCAAGGGAGCTAAAACAAATAACCTGCTTAGGCTTTTTTTCTAATCAAGATTAGAAAAGCCAATAAGATAAGGTAACCTTTATTGTCATTTTTTACTAGTTATCTTATCTATTTTTCCAATTTTAATAACAGCTCCCTCACCTTAACTGGTTGGGGAGCATAGTTAAGGCTGTCTCTGGGTTTTGTTTTTTTTATAATTCATCTCTTGCTCTTTGTTCACCTTTCAGAGTCCCCCAAGGATCAGCCTCCCGACCCCTTCAAATATGGTAAGTTAATCATTACTGAAAGCTTGTCTGGGGCCTTGGGAGTCAATGCAAATTGCTGCAACTGGCAGAGTTACTACCCTAGGAACAAAACACAGGAAAAAGAAAAGCCACGAAGGATTTCCCCTGTTTTTATTTAATTTGGAAACAGGCAGATATTCTGAGGACCACAATAATGCTTTAGAAGGACCGTGTTAACTCTTTTTTTCAGGCTTTCTTTGGAAAACTCCCATCTGATTTCTGCTTAAAAGCCAGTATTAGATCTTTGGATGCAAGACACCGGTGAAGCGGGCACAGCAGCGCCTGCGTCTTCTGCGTCTCACGAGAAAAGCACATCTTTCTTCCCTTGTCCTTACCACTTTCTACAGAGGGATGATCGAGAGCATCCTGTCACATTGCGTTACTGTCTAGTTTGGAAGCATTACTGCTTCCGACAGGAAGGCGGTGCAGAGAGTGGTGAGGATGGCAGAAGAGATTATTGGTAGTTCATTTCTTTCTATCCAGGACTTGGCAGATAAGCGATTCTTGAGCAAGGTCCGTAGGATTATCTGGGATGCTACATCCTCTTCACAACCTGTTTTCCTTGTTGTCTTCTGGGAGGAGGGGGCTTCGCGGGATTCGAAGCAGAACGTCCAGATTCAGTCACCTTTTATGTGTGTGTATGGGTAGATATATACTTTCTTTTGAGAGCAGGCAACAGAATTTCGTTTTTAATGTGTGCTAGCGTGCTCACAGCAAAAAATGACAATAAAGGTTCTCTTAATCTTAAAATGTAAGGAAATGCCTTTGAATTCTTTTGCCTTCTTGCTTTGGGAAGCTAATAGGGCAACAATGCAGAGGGAAATAAGTGGGGAAAAACGTCCACAATAATTTGCTGATTTGGAACTGAAGTAGAACACCTCTGGAATCCATTTTTATTTATTTTTTTATTTATCCCGCCTTTGTTATTTTATAAATAACTCAAGGCAGAGAACATACCTGATACTCCTTCCTCCTCCTATTTTTCACACAACGACAACCCTGTGAAGTGGGTTGGGCTGAGGGAGAGGGACTGCACTGAGCTGCCTGTCGTGCCTAAGGTGGGACTAGAATTCTCAGTTTCCTGGTTATTCTGATCCTGAGTTAAACTGCCTTTGTAAATCAGATTAGATAGATAAACTCAATAGGAATAATTTCATAACAAAAACATATTTAATCAGAAAGATTACTTGCATTCATGACGGTTGCCTCTGATAATACATCTCTGTTCATCCCTATAGGTGAAATAATGAAGCTCTCTTCATACCATCTTTATAGCAAAACAGGGTCATTGGGTGATATCTGATGGCCCATGCTTCTTTCAGACAAAGACATTCCAATCCGGCTTGTGTCCAGAAAGTCTCCCAATGCCCTCTAGAAACTCCTCCCACTGACCCATTAACATGGGATGACTGACTAGCTAAAACTACATTTCCCATAAGCCATCTCTTAAGGAGACAGCACTTAACTCAATAAATGCCAGATAGTCTAACATACAGATACATGCTCTCTAGTTAGGGTTACATAGAGTTATACGATCCAGAACACTGGTGATTGGCCAAAGTCACCCAACCAGCTTTCATGCTGAAGATGGGACTAGAACTCTCAATCTCCTGGTGATTGGCCCAAAGTCATCCAGCTTTCATGCTTAAGGCAGGACTAGAACTCACAGTCTCTTGTTTTCTAGGCCAGCACCTTAACCACTACACCATGCTGGCTCTCCATTTGTAGACAGTCACAACATAATAAAACCATGGTAACACATGTGCTCGACTTTGTCTCCATGGTGCTATCTTCCTCTTGTCTCCATCTATGAGGAAGGTGGCTTATAGCATCCTTGACTATTAGACAGTAACCAAAGAGAGCATTAAGAAGCATAATGTCTGATTGTGGCCTTGAAAAGTCAGAACCCTCTTAAGCACACCAATTGTACCCATTTTGCCCTTCAAATAGATGGAGACTTAACCCTCAGTGGATTTGCCCCCCCCCCAATGGGATTTCCCCATGTACAGTATTTTACCAGAAATATAGATAGAGCTGCCTCAAAAGCATATTGATGAACTAATAATCCAGGAGTCTTCAAACTTGGCAACTTTAAGACTTGTGGACTTCAACTCCCAGAATTTCTCAGCCAGCCAGGGCTGGCTGAGGAATTCTGGGAGTTGAAGTCCACAAGTCTTAAAAGTTGCCAAGTTTGAAGACCCCTGTACTAATCCATTGGGCTGGCTGAGGAATTCTGGGAGTTGAAGTCCACAAGTCTGAAAGTTGCCAAGACCCCTGTACTAATCCATTGGTGATGTCCAGTTTGCTCTCTGAATTCATGGAGACCTAACCCTAACCCTAAGGCTTAAGGGTTGGGCAATAAAGCAGGCAGGAGAGGAATCAGTGATGGAGATAAAATAATTTTCTGCTGGTCCAGGGACGGGTGGAGAGCACTCTACCTCTTCAGTGGTTTAAGGCCTATAGAAATAGGGTTTCTTGTTTTAATTCCAAGCTACTTTCTATTCCTTGCCTGACAAACCCATTTTTTTTTCACCACACCAGATTACTATTCGCTGAGAGTTGGAGGCTTGGTGTTTGCAGTTGTCCTGTTTCTGCTGGGCATCCTCATTATCCTTAGTGAGTAACTACCATCCCGTGGTTGCCCAGGAAGGAGGCTTAGTGGGTTGGGATCAGAACACCCTTGAACTACAGTATATCGAGTGTGTTCATGCATCATGGAAAAGCACTGAGTTGAGTCTGACTTCTCTCTTGTGTCTGAACCCACCTACTGCACTGTGGGATTCAAGACTTATGCCTTTCAAATAAAATTGTCCAGAATAGTATAGGACAGTGGTGGCGAACCTATGGCACGCGTGCCAGAGGCGGCACTCAAAGCCCTCTCTGTGGGCACGCGCGCTGCCATTGCCAGCAGCTTGTGCAGGTCCATTAGGCCGCCGCTACCCGGAGTGGCAGCCCCACCCAGCACAAAGGAGGCGAAGCAGCCAGCTAGCAAGCTCGAGTAGAGGTGGTAGAGCACGCCCACACCCAGCAAGTTGAAGGCCACCCCAACCAGGAAAAGCCAGATCCCTATCAGCGCCATGCCCCCCCCAGTCCCAGCTAGGATTGCGTGCCTCCCCCCATCTAGGCTGGGCCTCCTGCCAACCGCCTCACCCACCAGAGACCCCTTGGATCTCCCCCAACCCTGCCCGACCCCCACAGGCATCCCCCCCATGAGCAACATCAAGGTGGCCATGCCCACCCCAGCCACGCCCACCCAGTCTGCTGTGACAACTGGAGCCATGCCCACCTGGTGGGCCACACCCCCATGCCTCCCCCCCGAGGGCACCACAATGCTGATGTGGCCCTGGCACTTTGTGATAAATAAGTGGGTTTTGGGTTGTGGTTTGGGCACTCGGTCTCTAAAAGGTTCACCATCACTGGTATAGGATCTCCTGCCTGAGCAGAGGGTTTGGACTAGAAGACCTCCAAGGTCCCTTCCAACTCTGTTATTCTGTTAAATAGTCCTTCTCACCAAAAAAAAACCCCTCATCCCCGTTCAGTTTCTTTTGAGGTCCTTGCTCAACTCTTCTTCGTTTCTTCCTCTCCTAGGCCGACACTGTCGCTGCAAGTTTAACCAGCAGCAAAGGTAATAAGCCTCTCCTAAGGCTATTTTTTTGGGGGGGGGGGGGAAATATGGAACAGTGGTTATCTGAGTTGTTTTCAATAGACAAAGAGGGACAGTATGAAAAAAAGGGGGGGCAAATAGCATGACGTAGTTTTGCATGTTTTGCAATGTGGTTCAAATATCTTAATTATTTGGAGACCGTTGAAGCGCCCTGCTTCTTCTTTATTCTCTTTTATTTCCATTTTCTTTTATCTCCCTGCTGGGGAAGAATCTGGCCAGCACAATGATTCATTCTCTGAATTAGTACATCTGCTGATAATTGCTTTCTTTCTGGGATGCGGGGATTGGAAGCAGGGAGAGACAGGGCATTAGAAGGTTAAGTTGTAAGCATGATGTCGATAATTACCCAATAAATGAGCTTTTAATTTTGACCCTTGTAGAAATATTCAAATTATACACATAAAATGGAGATTTGGAAGCTGTGGGGTGCTAGTAGCTAATAAGAGTTCTGAAAATTGGGAAGGAAAGAATATCACAGATTGTTTAAAGGCTGAGGATTGATTAATCAACTCCCTAGCTAACTTCAGTTGTTATCTAAACTATTGAATCGACAATAGCCTTCTCACATCTGACACCCTTCAGAAGTGCCGGCACTGTAGTTGCGGATATTTGGAGGGCACGCTTGATGGCTGACTCATATTTATGACGGTTGCAGTGTCCCTGGGTCATGTGACTCCCTTTTGCGACTTTCTGACGAGCAAAGTCAATGGGGAAGCCAGATTCACTTAACAACCATGTTACTAACTTAACAGCTATGGCAATTCACTTAACAAATGTGACAAGAAAGGTCGTAAAAAGGGGGCAAAACTCACTTAGCATATGTCTCACTTAGCAACAGAAATTTTGGGCTCAATTGTGGTCGTACGTTGAGGACTATCTGTAATCAGTTTCACATCTTCTCCTCACCACTTCCTCTCCCTTTGGAATCCTCACCTTGGTCCTGAGATAATTAGCAAGAAAGGAGTTAATGTTTGAATCTCCATTCATTGGAGAAGAAGGGCCTACAACAGTGATGGCGAACCTTTTAGAGACCGAGTGCCCAAACTGCAACCCAAAACCCACTTATGCATCGTTGGGTGCCAGGTGGGTGTGGCCCATTGGCTGGGTGTGGCCAGTTGGGTGGGCGTGGCCCATTGGGTGGGCGTGGCTGCGGTGGTAACGGCAGATTGGGTCGGACTAAAAAGTTCAATCAATCAATTCCAACTTTGCAAGATCTTTTTTTTTCCGTGAGAAGTTGAAATTGACTGATTGATTGAACCTTTTTTTTTTTTGCACATGGCAGCGGAGGCCTAAAGTGAAAAGGTTTTATAAAACCCAGCTGAAGGCCTAGGACTGGGGCGACAGCACGCGTGCCCACAGAGAGGGCTCTGAGTGCCACCTCTGGCACCCGTGCCATAGGTTCGCCACCACTGGCCTACAAGGAACTAAGCTTGTACACAGTGGGGAATATACATTGTAAGCAATGCGGCAGCCCCAAGTGTTCTATGCAAACAGTCGGATATATTCCCCATTGTGTCCTGGTTTACTCTCTTGTAATCCCTTGTTCTCCAATCTCTTCACTCTGCGGGGGGGGGGGAGAAGAAAAATAATAGGTCAAGCACAGGAAAATCTGTACTGACTGTAATAGTGATTGTGTGACTTAGGGACTGTGAAGGTTGTAAATACAGTCATAAAATTATTTTTAGCATTGTCATAACTTTAAATGGTTCCTGAATGAGGTAATTGGTAAATTAGGACTACATGTATTTAATGGGACTTCTTTTGCTGGCAGTACATGGCATGAGTACCAGAAGGGGTTGGCCATTTTTACAATTCTCCAGTCGATGTTTCTCTTGTATGAATGAAGCACACAAACAACATGATGCTAGGAGGAAGGGAAGACAAGAATTCCCACTGCAGCGTTTTTACTGATGTGTGCTGCACCCATTTGCGCATTCAGACTCGACCTTATAGTTTATCATTACCTTTACTATGCTGAATCGTTATTCCTTTTGGATGTCAGCAGGGGGCGCTGTAGCATAGCTTTTATACAGAAAACTTTCTATCCATGTGCAGTCCTACAACCGCTTATACTGTACATGCATAGTGACATCATACCAGATCCGCCTGCATTGATACTCAGCCGCTCTTTTCAGCCAGAACAATTCCCAGCACGTTGCATTCTGATGAATTATCAAGGCAAGATTTTTTCAGCCTTACTGTGGAAAAAATGCATGGCACAAAAGAATAAAGCGCAAGACAGGAAAAATAAAGAACTCAACGTGCCAGTTTCTAATGTTACAAGGTTCTTCTGGGGATTGTTTGTAAGGGGCCAAATTTGATAGTGCAACCGTTTACAACTGGGGTTGTCCAAGCTTGGCAAGACTTAATAATAATAATAATAAAGTTGGAAGGGACCTTGGAAGTCATCTAGTCCAACCCCCTGCTCAGGCAGGAAACCCTATACCTTTTCGGACAAATGGCTGTCCAGGCTCTTCTTAAAAACTTCCAGTGTTGGAGCATTCACCGCTTCTGGAGGCATAGGGGATAGATTCACCGGGGATAGATTAACACATTTGATGATATGCCAACAAGTCAATGATGATTCTTTGGAAGCACAAAGAGAGAATTCTTGCAAGACAGTCTGTCCCTAATTTGGCCCTTGAGGTTTGTCAACAATGATCCAATCATCACTGTAACCAAGTCCTTCCACTTGGATGCTGGTCATTCCCTTCCTCTTTTTCCATGCATCTTTTCCGGAATTAGATCCTTCTCCAGAGAGTTGGGTCTGCCCATCAGGTGTACAAAGTCAGATAATTTGAACCAGGTAAATTTGCGCTTTGAGTGAAAATAAATTTGCTCTACAATCTAAGCATTTGTTTCCTTGGCTAGTAGTCTCAGAAGCTTTCTTCAGCAACAAACACACATATATATACAATATATGCATATAAGTAGTCCTTGACTTACAACCACAATTGAGCTCAAAATTTCCATTGTTAACCATGGTAGTTGTTAAATGAATTGCACCCTATTTTACGACCTTTTTGCCACCGTTATTAAATGAATCACTGCAGTTCTTAAGTGAATTATACGGCTGCTAAGCGAATCTGATTCTCCCATTGACTGCTTGTTGGAAGCCAGCTGGGAAAGTTACAAGTGGATAAATACCCTGAGACAAAATATATAGTAGTAGTAGTAGTAGTAGTAGTAGTAGTAGTAGTAGTAGTAGTAGTAATAATAATAATAATAATAATAATAATAATAATAATAATAATAATAATAATAATAGTTGAAAGGGACCTTGGAGGTCATCTAGTCCAACCCCCTGCTCAGGCAAGAAACCCTATACCATTTCAGACAAATGGCTATCCAGACTCTTCTTAAAAACTTCCAGTGTTGGAGCATTTACCGCTTCTGGAGGCAGGTTGTTCCGCTGGTTAATTGTTCTCACTGTCAGGAAGTTTCTCCTTAGTTCTAGGTTGCTTCTCTCCTTGATGAGTTTCCATCCGTTGCTTCTTGTCTTGCCTTCAGGCGCTTTGGAGAATAGCTTGACTCCCTCTTCTTTGTGGCAGCCCCTGAGATACTGAAACACTGCTATCATGTCCCCCCTCGTCCTTCTCTTCATTAAACTAGACTTACGCAATTCCAGCACTTGTGGATTTCAACTCCTAGAATTCCTCATGCTGGCTGGTGAATTCTGGGAGTTGAAGTCCACAAGTCTAAAAGTTGCCAAGTTTGGACACCCCTGGTTTTACGATCAGTTAAAATAGTTCCTTAAAAGGAAAAAAAAATTGTAAAGATGAGAGCTGCAGAGCTTGAAGGGATTTGGGGTGTACGGAATACAATGCAAGGTAACCCTCTGAACCTGTTCTGCATGCAAACAATTTTCACTGGCAGGTATGAGGATAACTCAAGAGGTGGAGACCCAGTGTGATGGTTTTGTTTTGTCCCCAGGACTGGAGAACCGGACGAAGAGGAAGGAACTCTGCGGAGCTCAATCCGGCGTAAGAGCCAATCTGTGGCCACGTACACCCTCTGTTCCTCTTTTCTCCTGGGGAGGATTTTTCCTGGGCCAGAGAACTTTTTAAAAATTATATGTAAACTGAGCTTGCTTTTATAGCATCATATCCTGGCTTTAAGTTTCATAATATATAAGAAAATCTCTGATCTCTTAGAAGTCCTTGAAAAGGCTGATTAATTTGTGCAGTGCGCAGACTTCAAATTAGGGGTTCCTTTGGGACAGCACAGAACCGGGCAGTGATAATTATGAATCTTCTACAAGATAGTGAAATGGTTGCCTATTTATATACTGTATGTTGCCCATTTATATCTGCTGCATTCTGGCATTCTGAACCAGGATGGTCTTTAAAGCTGTTTGGGTGTATAATGCCTCAGACACCAGAGGAAACAGACTCCTAGCTTAAGGCGTGTTTGCTGATGGAGAGAGAATAAATCGCTTCAGGAAAAGGCCTTTTAAAAACTCAAGACTTTTTTTTTGTCTGCTTGTTTTTTTGAATTCCCACTAGGTTTATCCACAAGGATGAGATAGAAGACATTGGAACTGGTGAGTTGCTTGCAGATTAAATGAAAAAAATGACCCTTGTGATCTAACCTCAGTTTGATTTTTGTCTCTCTTGTGGTTTTACCATCCGTTGCCGCCTTTGCGGCTTTGTGCAAAATGCAACATTTAGTTCCCTTTTCTTCCCTTTTTCTTCTGTGAGATCCAAGTGGTCTTGAGAACAGAGGACTTGTTTGTGTAGATACAACATTGATCTAAAAGGAAAGCTAGCTTTGTTTGGGCTTTGTTTGTTATACCGTAAGTAACTCGTTTGTTATAAAAAAAAAAGGAGGGGCACCTTGCTTTCTTGATAACATGACATTGGAGGCAGGCAGGACAGTTTCCCCCCCTTGTCTAAACTTCCTATTTTGGGGTAGAAGTGATTGGCTTCTCTTTAATTTTCAGGGTTATCTTCTTTTGGGCCTCTGAGGTAAGTGTGCCATTTGACCTCAGCAATAATCAAGCAGAAATTAAGCATGCAGTGGAGTTGAAGGTCCAAACCTCAGTTCACACAATCATGCCAAGGGTTTTAATCATGGAAAACCAGGATCTCACTGCAACGATTCTCCTTTCAAAACTGGATAAGGAATTGTACCAAAGGATCCATGTGAGAGGTGAAGAACAGAGCCATCTTCTACAAAGTGGACAACAGGCTCTCAAAGGCCCCATCTGGAGTCACCTTTTTCAGCTGCAAACTGCCAAACTTCAAACTGTATGTGTGCAAACGCGAACCTGTCCAAAGTGACATTCAATTTGTTCCATGAAGGTCACCCTGGGATGTGAAATGGAGGCTCCGATCTATGATCCAGCCAGTGGAGACTGGTAAAATAAATAAAAGCAGTCTCAATATGGATTGCAGCGCTAAGCTGTCCGTTGTTCCCTGTCTGAAGCAGGTAATTGTCAGCGAGCCAAGATGAAAGCAGTATAGGACCAGGAATTTAAGCTGCATCAAGTAAAAGGACCGGCAGCTGAGCTGTCTGATGTTTTGAATAAATCTGGAAAACAAGTGACTTGGGGATAACTCCAACAGCAAGATGGCATTCATAACCATGATAAATTTATTGTCTGGCTCAGTGGTGCGATTCAAATACCTGAACAACTGGTTCTCTGCAGGGATGCAGGCCTGGGCTTCCGAGGTCTAGAACAGACTTCCAGAAGTGGCATCCACGCACTCCCGGCAGGCTGTTCTAGGCCTGGGAGGCTTCCTCCAGGCCTCCCAGGCCTAGAACAGACTTCCGGAAGCAGTGCGCATTCCGCCGGTTCTCCAAACTCAACAACATTTAGTTACCGGTTCTACCGAACAGCCTGGCTGGAACTGGGGGTCTCTTCACAGGTCATTTGAAGTCCTGAGATTCTTCTTTTTTTATTTGAATGTCAACTTCCTCTGACGTGCCTCACTTCTTTCCTTTTCTCCCCTTCTCCTAGGTAGCTGCATCCGTTATTTTCCTGGATCTGGAGCACCCCCTCTTTTGTTCCGCTTGGCCTTGGTCCTCCCAACAAGGCCCCATTGCTTGCCACAACTCCAGTGAATTCCAGAACTGGTTGTCTCTGGGGTCATCCCAACCCAAGCAAGCCCCACCAAGGCCTTCTCCTTCTGTTTTGGCTTGCTCTTTGAAGTCCACTGCCTCTCCGAGAGGGAGGGCAGCCTTCTAACCATTGGCCTTCAACCAAGTTCTAGTGACCATGTGGGATTCTAACTCATGAGCTCAGCTCAAGCTCCTTTACAGTAGAGCCCTGTCTGAGCCCTTCTCTTTTAAAAAGTTCTCCTTGGGCTTCTGGAAATAAAAGTGCCTTGAGTCAAGCTTCTTCTCCTGGTGGCTGCATCCGTGCAGTTCTTTCGGCAGCTTTAGAGAAGTGATTTGCTGTCGCTTGTGGCTCACGTTTTTCAATCTAGTATATTCTCCTCAGTTTCACAGATGGTTCCTCCCCGTTCAGAACTAACCATGATTGTTACCACGAGATCAATTTGGGGCTCCCACCAAAGCAATCGTTCTAAAAAGAACAAATAGTGAGAGATCCTGATTCTTTCCTTATCACCCAAGAAAAGCACACATGAGCTTCATCCAGCATAAGGTGCTATTTCATTGGTGTTTTCTATTGTTAATAATTGTGCCATTTGACATCGCACAGTCAATCTGAATTGTATTCACACAAGGGGACAAGCCTGGGAGGGATGGGCAACTTCCCCAAACCATGCTTTTCCCTCTGTGTCTTTCCTTAAAATTGTGGATGGATGGATGGATGATGGGCTACTAAGTTGGCATTGACTCTTAGCAACCCTTCTCCAAGACGATCTTTAATTGTAGAATTGATCATAAATGTGCAAGGAAATGGAGGTAGGATTGAAATATGTGTTCATTAGCAAGGTTTTTTTTTAGCCATAGTTCTATTAGTTCTGAAAACAGGATTTTAGGGTGCACAGTTGGCTTTTAAAAGTAGGAAGGAGAATTTGCCCTCTGAGAATGATAAGAGTTTGGTGGTTCTCCCCATTTCAAGAGGGTAGATATTTTTCTTATCAGTTTGTTCTGACAACCCAACCATTGGGCAAAGAGGTGGATGTTATTCTAGCTTACCTATACAGGTATGGGAGAAGACAAGGAGTGGAAATGGAAGTGGAAAGGAATGGAAAGAGCAAATGGGAAAGAAGACAAGGAGGACATTAGGATCACCTTCCCAAGATACCTTGATTATTAGTTTCCAGCCCAGCATGACCAAATGCATTCAATGAATGCCAGGAGAAGGAGGTCTATAGCAGAGTTTCTTGATCTTAAACACACGTTTAAGATGTGTGGACTTCAACTCCCAGAGTTCCCCAGCTACCATGATGGCTGAGGAATTCTGGGAGTTGAAGTCCATGCATCTTAAAATTGCCAAGGCTGAGAAACATGGGGCTACAGGAATGGGGAAGCTAATTGGAAGTACAAGAACTTCAGTATTGGATTTATTTAATAAGCTACCAAGACCTTCAGGAACTGGTGGAGTAGAAGACGCTAGGCCTGAAATAAATTTAATATTCCCTTAGGTCAACTTGTGAATGGGTAGCCAACAAAAACAAATCTCTGGATAGCCACAGAATCTTTTGAAGCCAGTATTGTCTGCAGCCCACCCTCTCACACCATTAGTTGCTTTTCCCATTTTCTGCTGCTAGAAAGTTGCCCTGCAATCTTCTGCAGATCCTTTCTTGCGGGATGTGATCTCATCAACAGATTCAAGCCAGCTAATGAGCCCTAGATGAGCTTTGCAATGTAACAAGTTGAAAAAGCCTTTTTTTTTTTGGGTAGAAATTTGCTGAGGAAGAGCAACTTCCCTCTTTTTTTTTTCCTGTGGCCAGTTGAGGACAACAGTGTTTCCCACTGAGGGGAGATGAAAGGGCTATTTGAGTCCATGTGGAGAAAAAGTTCAAAGAGGAGAAGGGTGGGGATGGGGAGACAGAGGGAAGTGGGAAGTGATGATAAATAATGCAATCTTAATAGACTGGCAGTGATTTCACAGTTTCCCCAAAGGCCTGTAGTTTTTTAAATTGCTGGAACCAGTGATGTAGTCAGAAATCTTCATGTTCTTGTTGGCTGCCGGAATGGAAGTTTCTAGCATCATCAAATGTGTAAAGTCCCATTGGATATAATGCAGAAGGATTATAGCAGGGGTCTACAGACTTAGCAACTTTAAGACCTGTGGACTTCAACTCCCAGAATTCCTCAACCAGCCATAATGGCTGAGGAATTCTGGGAGTTGAAGTCCACAAGTCTTAAAAGTGCCAAGTTTGAAGACCCCAGGATTATAGGGACTTTGTCTTGTTAGAAATAAGCAGCATTATTAAGGAAAATTAACTGCTACAAGGGTCAGCTTGAGGGTGGAAAGAATGTGACCTTCGCTTTTTTGGGGGGGGGGTCTGTTCCTGCCTTTTTTCAGCCATGCATTTGGTCCTGCTGGCTAAGAATTATTACATTTGGAAGGCCAACCAAACTGGAGCTATCACACTGGGGGAGGCTGATGGATGCTGCCCATGTACGCATTTGTGTGTTGCATGTGTGGGAAATCCAATCTGGCCCATGAAGGCCCCACCTTGATTATGGTACCCAGGCAGGTATTTGCTTCCTGTCTTCTGAAACGGTGACACCTCCTCTGACTTTAGTGGGTGGAGCTTCAGAGAAAGGATGGAGTTTCAAAGAGCCCCTAGCCCTGATATCATTGATACCAAGGGTACCTGTAGGACAGGGGTCTTCAAACTTGGCCCTTTTATGACTTGTGGACCTCAACTCCCAGAATTCCTCAGCCAGGCATGCTGGCTGAGGAATTCTGGGAGTTGAAGTCCACAAGTCATAAAAGGGCCAAGTTTGAAGACCCCTGCTTTTGGAACATGCTGGTGATCTCATGATGCATTGCAAAAGGGGTGGGGCTTAGGTTATGCTGCTTTGATTCCCCCCCCCCATCCCACCTGAAAAAGGGTTTTAGTAGAGCTATGCAGAGAAATCTGGCCAGCTTTTAAAAGTCCCCTTCTCAGCTTGCAATCCACTCCAGTCAAGAAGGCAGCTAATCAGTGACCATAGCTCCAACCCCAGGAGATTTCTGCCTGTGACGTGGACTCAAGTCTTTTACCTTTTCTAAATCTGGCTAGGTTTAATTTAACAATGATGATGGCCGTGGAGTGAAAGGTTGAATGACTCACTCTAGGAGTCCTTGTTGATATTAAGCAGGGGTCTTCAAACTTGGCTCTTTTATGACTTGTGGACTTCAACTCCCAGAATTCCTCAGCCAGGCACGTGTGCCTGGCTGAGGAATTCTGGGAGTTGAAGTCCACAAGTCATAAAAGAGCCAAGTTTGAAGACCCCTAATATTAAGTCTTGGATCAGTGTTTCTCAACCTTGGCTGCTTAAGGATGTGTAGGCTTCAAATCCCAGAATTACCTGGCTGGGGAATTCTGGGAGTTGAAGTCCACATCTCCAAGCGGCGAGGTTGAGAAACTGTCACAGATTTTTCCCATGGTCAGTTTGGCTTCTCTCCAGGAGAGGGCAGCACCAACTAACATTCACCTTACAAAATCCAGCAGGCTCAAGACTCTATATAACCATGCCTGACTATAACCATGTCTGCAGAAGTCCTGCTACTTCCATTAACATCTTCCCTGCAAAAAAAGCTTTTCTTGAATCCAGTCTCATGGTTTATATGTTTATACATTTAATCCTTGCAGCAAGTGCCTTTTGTAAGCTGAAAATGCTATGTAGCAGGCTGATTTTGATCCTGTATGAGTGCCCAAACACAGGTGCACAAACAGGGAATCTAGGGCACCTGATCAGTCCTGTTTCTTCTCTGGGAGTCATCCCAGTTCTCATTAAAAGATCACTGAAACTAACTGATGTAAGGGGAAGTGTGTGTTGGTGTGTGATGTTTAACGTCTGCTTTCGTTCATGGTTTTCTTCCACGTTTTGCAGATCATTTAAATGTGAAATCTGGGGTTCTCCTTTGCATGAAAAAAAAAAAAGCCACGCTTAGGAGGAATCTTTCTAGAGTTCACTGTCCTCCTGACCAATTAAAGGTGTTTTCTAATGTCACTTTTTTCTCACGCTTGCAGTGTTATGGCTAAACTCTTAGCCTTGTGGGCAGTTGCTACATTAAGAACAAATGCTTTGGAGTTGCAAAGATCAACAAAAATGATCAAATGGAGCTAATCAAACAACATGGAAAATGTGTGCAACCCCATAATAAATAAGACTTTTTAATGGGAAAAGGCGTCAGGGATCCATTGAAGGAGCAGAAGATGTTAGAAAGGACTTTGTTTTTATGCAGTCTGCTGTGTCGTGCTTTCTAATTGCCCTTTTCAATCAATGAATTAATTTTCTTTCGCTCTGAACTCTCCCTTAAACACGGAGCATTAAAATCAGTGAAGAGAGAATGTTTTGTGATATTCTTCATTATCTGGGGGCCTTTCCTTATGAGATGACATGGAGAATGAAGAGGTATTTTATGGTTTGTGGAGCATATGGTGTTAAAATCTTCCGTTTGGGTGATATTTCTGTTTTAAAAGAGTAGATCATTTTTCACTTGTTAACTCCACCCCCAAAGCTGCTTTCAGAAAAATAACCCACAAGCACATTAATTATAGAGTAAATACTATAACATCCATGTAAAGCTACAACAGCAGAATTAAAACTGGTTAGAGTCTGGCAATTTAAATTGCCAAAGAAATTGGAGAAATATTTGATGAATACTTTTAATAGGAAATATGAATATGAAATATGAAATGCTCCCCAGAGAGGGTTCACCCAATGAATATCTTAGTATACTAGACTGCACTGTTTCTCAACATCAGCAACTTTAAGATGTGTGGACTTCAATGCCCAGAATTACCCAGCCACATGTTGGCTTGGGAATTCTGGGAGATGGAGTCCAAACATTTTAACTTTTCCAAACCTTTGAATGTGGCTGTAACTTTTACTTCCCATTTGAAATTTGGAATTGCTTTTTGAATCTCATTCCCAACTTTGGTTTGTTCAAGGAATACTGTAAGAGAGGCCTTTTTTTTCCCTGTTCACTGCAGTATTTCAGATAAGGTGCAAGGCTCACTTTTCAAACACCAATAGAAAATTTAGGCAGTTCCAAGGTTGACTCATAGCACATAGAATAACAGGGTTGGAAAGAACCTTGGGGGTCTTCTAGTCCAGGGGTCCCCAACCCCTGGTCCGTGGACCGGTACCGGGCCACGGCATGCCAGGAACCGGGCTGCACAAACAAGCAAAGCCCCATCTGTGTGGTACAGGCAGCACACAAAACCACACCCCCTCTGGTCTGTGGAAAAACCTCTCT